AAAAGCAAATTGATTTGTTAAATACGTAATTTGCTTATAAATTAACACCGTAAGCTAACGTAAACTCGCTTTCAAGATTTAAATTTTAAATCGGTATGGGGACAAACAATTTGGTACTTACCTCCCACTCTGGGTGATATTTGAATTTTCGTTGTCGCTTGCTATCTTTCTCTTTTGGAATATTGTTTTGAGTTGCGCTTATTTCACTAGAGGCCAATTCACCATCACTGCACAACTTGGCGCCATCTTGTAGCACAGACGCCGTGTCTTGTAGTACTTCGAAACGATCGTGTAAATTACCTTCGGAATCTAAATCTTTTGGTACTGCTTTTTTGTCCCCAGTTTTGCCTGGTGAAAGGAAATTACGGATGTCGTATCCAAACTTTCCATCCTGTTCAGCTTTTCGTTTCGCCATCGCGGAATTCAAATGAGACAAACACAAACACACTATACCCAACGCTGCCAACCATTGGGTATGTCACGTGAATTTGTTGTACACGACACGCCTGCTACGAAAGGACCTTAGTACATTTGACCCCATTTATTACGTGCTGCAAACATACTGACTGATTTGTTCATACTCGTATCTGCGGCTCGTATTCAGCGATCATTTTACAATAAAAAAAAAGATTTGCCCAGATTTTGAAAAGAACAAAATTACCTATAAACAAGTCTCAATCAGTGAAATCATAAAAAGTACGAAGGTATTGATAAATAATTTCATCGATTTTGACAGCCAAATATGTTCGTAAAATACACGATAAATATATTAAATATTTTCGTATTTTCTTCTATTTTTTCTGAAAGTACGAAAAAAACGAGCGACAGCGGAAACACAGTTTCCATAAATAGTCCGTGATGTACACTTGACTCTTGTATAACCATGAAGTCCATCCTGTTTGAATTTATAGGACTATTTTACTGATCTTACCACTACAAACATTACAAAGCAGAATTCTAACAGCTACATGTATGCATGACAAAATTTATTGTAGTGAAGACAATAAATAACTTGTCAGTATAATTCTTGAATGCTGTAACATTCAAATTCAATTTGGGGGAAACAAGAACATCATCAGAGATGGCATATCCCCTAGCATTGTTTTATAAATCAAGTTTGTTCCAGTGGCGCATCAAGAAGACACACCAGTTGGAGCGTGGATTATGACAGCCACTGCTGGCTGGTATAATGGGGCAAGTGGATGGTTGTTGAAACCATTATGTATTCTGTGTACAGACTGAAGTGCAAGATATTGAATACCATCTTTGATGTAGCAAAACAAGCAGAAAATGAGTGCACATACATGAAATGATGCAGAGAAATGAGATTTAACCACACTGATGTACCGTATAATACCTCATATAAGCGCCAACCTGGATTAGGCGCCAGTACAATAGAAAAAGTGATAATTTTCACACCAATTAGGCGCCAGTGAAAGTTGAATGTCTCTGTGAATGTCAACTGGCGGACGTAAGTTGGAATAGCATTGAGTTTCTGGAGTGCATGTGTGGCAGGGTGACGCATTAAAAGCAACTTGCCAAGGCAACAATGAATTGTCCTTCTCGCTTGATGCGTGATTTAATTAATTATTCTGCGCCTCTAATTGTTGACTATTACTCAGTAGTGATTATATTTACGTATAAAAAAAAAAATTGTTGAATTGTTATGAAGTGCAAATAAATTTAAACTTAGTTTCATCATAAGCAAATGATTCAGTTCGCTCGATGCTTGAGAATATCCGCCATGTTTTGATCTGGGACAGAGTTCTTTGACCTGATAGGTCAAATCGCTAATTAACCAATCAAAATGGTGGATGATGCCAATTCATTTAAATATGTTAATGTTATTGAACACAACACAGAAGAGATTTGCCGATATTGTAGTACAATCTTTTGGCTTGGAATTAGATGGGAAAAAGGCATGATTTTTTTTAAAAACAAAAAATTAGTTGTTTTCAAAAGATAAACTGAGCATTAGAAGAATAATTTAACATTGTTTATAGTGATAACAGCTCATTGTCGGAACATAGCTTACTCATTCACACTAGTCATGATAAAAATCATACTCTTGAATAGGCGTCAATGACTACGGTAAAATTTAAATCAGACTATTTTAGGCGTCCGGAATGATTTAAGGTAGCGAGACTATTATTTGTGTTGAAAATCACGATTTCCACATTTATTTATTAATTGATGAAATGCACTATAAACTTTCATGTGATAAAGTCAACACAGCATAGAATGTCATGTAAGTTGGTTAAAATGTAGATTTTCTGAAGGGAAGCAAGGCAGCCTCAGTAGTGTTTTCCAAAATCAATAACACAGGTTTAATCTGTGTGTCTATAAGTTTCAAAGATAAACTCAAGACAAAGCAATGTTAGGATGAGTTATCAGTAGCTATCTGACACACAATGAGTGTTTCCTAACATTTGAGTGGTTTGTCTTCCGCCCCTGTTTGTTTCACAGATTAGTCATTTGCATATCAATGTGTCAGACACAAGGTCACACAGCCACTGAAAAAAAAATCATTGATTTTGGTGTTTTCATCTGCCGATTTTATCCAATTATAGCTATCCCATTCTTTTATTTTTTTGGTTTCCAATAGCCTTACACATTTGGATGTCCTTACACATGTTAAAGCAGACCTTGATGGGAAAACAAATTGATTGTGCCGATAAACAAGCTTGAAAATCTTTGCTGTTACTTCATGGACGTTTTCTAGGAGTTTTTCAAAATACAAGGTCTTTAACAAAAAATAACGTATACTTATTGTCGTCGGATTAACACCAAATTTTCACAGCTTTAAGATGACAGTGAGAAGAACTTGAATGTGTCCAGACAAACTATTTCATCGATTATTTACCAACGAGTTGTGGTTTGAGTTGGGAGCAATGCGACTAAAACAGTAATTGAAATTCAGCACACTATTTTTTAAAACGCGTTGCTTGAATAAAAATGACCAGACACATTCAATTTACCAGACTATTGAACAACTAGGAAAAGTGAAAAAAATAATTCTTATCGCCAGCATAAATGCGTAATTATTTTTTTTTACAGAAAAAGTAATTTTTCACCTTTGATTAAGTAACGGGTCATAGAATGCAGATACGGGCATGGCAAACACACCTTTGAGAAGCTTGAAGTCTGGCGATTCTAAAAATATATACTTTCCTGGGTCTATTTGTAGTCATTTGGTCACAATTAGAAGATGAAAACAAGTAAGCATATAATAGTCCCGCTACCTTAATTGTCTGAAAAATGGCGCCAAAATATTAAAAAAAAAACTTAAAAACTGCCAAAAAAACATGATTTCTTAGTCTCATTCTATTTTAAAAACCAAACTGCAGTTTATAAGCCAAAATGTGACCTCAAATTAGCGCCAGACAGTAATGAAAATGCATCAATGTGGTGCCTATATGAGGTATTATACAGCAATACAGAATACCACCAGTTCTCTCTTTTCATCAGAGATTCATAAAATAGTCCCATTTATAATCTGCACTTTCCTTCCTAAGTTTTGGACAAAAATAGCTTAAATTTTTTTGAGTAAAAACTGAAAGTTAACTCAAATTTTGTTTGTTGGCTCCAAAATTAGGGTATAATATATAAGAATAAAGTGCAGAAAGATTTGGGGCAAGAAAGTCTGGCCGTGAAAAGGTTAATGTAATAATAACAGTTTGCCACTTACTTGTCCAGCAGACATGTACAATGTTTTAGCTGCTGAATTAATGACTTGATCTATAGCTTGCATTGAAAAATTAAATGTCATAAATTCACACACAGGTCTCAAACCAGCCTGAAAAAAATATAAAAATCTGTAAAAATATATCTGAGAAATAGAAATCTTGTAGCGAAGTTGGCCATTTTGTACAAAATCATAAAAGAAAATGACAACATCAGTAACCCAAAATGAATGATGTCAATACTAAGTTTGAATGGAGCTTTTTGGACCCAAAATGGTCACCAGTCAATAAAGTATCAATGAATTGAAAAAAACTAATTAACATGTATACCATTAAACATGAATGCATACCATTAAAGGCTGTCTTTGTAACAACTTTGAACGAAATCGGTCAGGGCAAGTCAGAAAAATGTTGTCAGACAGAACTCAAAACACTATTCCGGTTCTGAACTACATGATGTATATACACGTAATAACAGGAATTCATAACTTACCATTGCTGCTCCAACAGCAATACCTGCAAATCCCATTTCTGTAATTGGCGTGTCTATAATTCGTTTGTCTCCCCATTTTCTCCACAGTCCTCTGCTAATTTTGTATGCGCCATCATACATAGCAACCTCTTCACCTAAGAGGAAAACCCTTTCATCCCTGTCTATTTCTTCATCAAGAGCCGAGTTAAGAGCATCACGCACAGTCTAGTGACAAAAATATATTATGTATCAAAAGCACATTGTATTTATAATATAAGCAAGGTTTTTTTTTGTCTGAGTTGAATTAGAAACAGACACTGACAAACATGCCACAGTTTTAGGTTACTGTAGTCAGGGAAGGGGGATGCATGACATGATTGGTTGAAATCATCTCATTCGCATAAATTAATACATGTATTTGTGAGCAATGAAAAACTCGTCTTTTCTGTAAAATTGTGCCAAAATGCATTCCGATAGCATACATGATACTTCTAAATTGACTGATTCTATCAATACGAGCTGAAAGAATAATCGGAAAACTAATGTAAAGGTGTTTTTTTGAGAGACTATTTTGATCACACTCCAGAAAACTGTTGAAAGTAACCATAGGTTTTTTCTTTACCCTGATCATAGCAAGTTATGAAATTCATGGAGAATGCAGAGGCACGTTTATACTTCACTCTTGGTACTACATGTATTGCTCAAAATGTTTTCAGTGACTTTTGTCAGTGACAAGTTACCTAATTAGTATGCATTTCAAGAAACCATAGTGTGTGTGCATGCGCAGTTTGAAATAGAACAATTTTGAACTTAATAAAATCATGCGTAGAACTCCAATTTTGTTTATGTTTGAGCTTGAAAGATAGTGGTGGTCAGGTCAGTGCGTGTTCAAATTTCAAACAAACGATGTGTATTTTACATGTATGTGTATAAATCTTTCTGGTCAGTTGATGAGCATTTAGGACGATGTACACTGGACAAAGGAATGACTTCAAGTTCATGGTGTTATATTGCTGAACATCGCCTTTAAGATATTTGATATATTGTTTGGGAGCATATTTGTGACCTGTTTCTGGGGAAAAAAATTCTGTTGCAACTAGTGACAGGTCTAAATGCACACTAACTCAATGGACTACCGGTAATGTTGTGTACATGAAGAAATCACGTTTACAGGGCATGTCACTTGTCTTAATCTCGAACTTTACATTGTCTATAATATGTAAATATGCCCATTCACACAGTGCGTTGATGCTTTATAGCGTTCCATTCTTTCTGTTTAACAGTTTATAATTTACTGAAAGTGGAACAGAGAGAAACTGGTTGTCACTTGAAGGTTGAATAACCTCACGGCGGTCTTGTAGTAGTACACTCACCATTTGCGCAGATACAGGTACAGAAAGGCTGAAGTTTCGGCCGAACACGGCTTTTGAAAAAACCTGCGAAATGTAAAACAATAGAAAACATGTACTGCATGACTGAAACGGCAATCAACTCAAAATACGTTCCACGAGAACAATTTCATACTCTTGATATTTACATTGCGAGAAAGCTGTACAGTTCTGATCGCCGCCATCATTGTTTCGAGTGACCTTACCGATGACCTCTATTTCCCAGAGTTCTCCTCAACCTGCACGCAAGGGTGTTTGGGTAAAATGCGCATGTATACTATAAATTTAAATTTGTGTTTAATAATCGAACAACTACGAGACAACTCAAAAATAAATGTATTGTATTCGTTTGTTTACTGTAAATAAAAAATTGTTTGTATTAAATTGCTCGTTTCCCGTTAATCGCCTATCCTTATAGTTATAATATTTTTAAAATGGTAGTGGGTAATCGTAGTATTTGGTATTATATTTTATCACTATAATCTGTTTTATTATACTGATTACCAAGTACTATGATTAACTACTACCATTTTCTATATATTATATTTATCGGTCCAAGCAGGTTTCATCGATTTTATTATTTATAGTTACTATTTGCGTGTTAGGATTGGTGATTTCGCAATCTCCGATTGCAGCCAATCATTCACCACCGAACGCCGAACACCACGTGACAAACGGCCATTTTGTTCGCCGGCTTCTACCCGTCACAGTACCGGTAAGTTGAGGCTCGTAAATTGACTGACCTGCATAATTTGTTTGCAAAATTATCCAAAGTTAATGCAATTCTTTTCCGTATAATACCTTTGTATAATTTGTTTGTTGTTATATTAGTTCACAGAATAATACAACATGTTATCTTCGCTTTTTGACACCGCAAGGAAGAGTCCATTTGCCAGCCCATTTCAGGCACATTGTGAAGGTCCACGTTCGTCCACACAATCCACGGATGTCGTGCCGGCGAGAACGATATCGGCCGCCACGGTCGCTGAAGGTTCGTATTTAAACGGAAAAATTGTACTCAATTATTTGTTAGACGTTTAGTTTTCGTGTAATAGCAGACAATGGGATTGTATCGTAGTTGAAATCAGACTCGCCGGGCCCTGTCAGTCTACTACTAGGAAACTACTACGTGCGCACGTAACGTTGGTGACATTATGGTTTGTAGGTCAAGGTATAAAGGGATGTGATAATGTAGTAATGCTAATCCTGTATGAGCTAAGTTAGATTCTAATTTTCGAGAAAGCTCATCCATCGCAATATTACAAGACTCTTTTCACGGTCACTTCCAACTTGAACTCTATTTGAACTTCAGCTGCTGGAGAGAGTGCAGTGAAAGGTATAATATTTAGCAGTCCCAATCGTCTATTCTTGAACCTTTTTTGTAAACGTAAACGTTCCAGCGGCTAACATTTTCGCCAAAGTTTCGCCACAAAATGTAAATTACATTCAGGGAGAGGTTTGTTTTGTGCTATGGAACTGTGGGATATTGTTTCATAACTTTAGTCTCATTTATAATTTAAATTTTGTGAGTAACTTTGTCATAGTAGGCTTGTACTTGTTTGCTCCCTCAGGTGAAAAAAAAGGCAGAATTCTTCAAATTCTTGATAAGCGAAAGATGCCTTCAAATAAATATCAAAATAAACTGGGGTTACAAAACTTGTTAATCTTGAAATGGTGATTTCATGATGGTAATTTGTCAAACAGCTTAGACATGCTTCATGTCAGGAAATTCCTCTGTTGAAAGTCGTATTAAAGTGACCAACATTGAATTCAATGATTAATAATTTGCATCTTTTACTCAGCACCTTTATCTTTATAAATATTTATAAATTTTAATGAGGCCTAAAAAAAAAGGTGTGTTTCAGGTAACGAGCTAGAAAAAAATAGGTAGGGTAGGTCAGATTTCTTTTTTTTTTATTAATCTTTTTTTTTTTGCATTCAAACAATTTCGACAAGTTGAAATACAATTTGCTGAAAAAATATAATTAGCATGATTATATCTGGGTCTTTATTCAATACCCAAATATTATTTGAATTTATATTTTGAGATGATAAATCTTTCTATTGGTCAAAATTGCTG